GGGGTAGGTCACGGATAACAGGGACGAGGGACTCTCGGACCTCGTTCCAGCCGGGCCGACGCCGGAGAGCGGAGTATGCAACACGCCTGCACTGCCTGCATGCACCAGCTGGCCGCCGCCGTGGAACTTACAGGGGAAGAAGTCGTCCTGAGGCTCTGTCTCCCTGTACGTCTCGAGGCTCACGGCCCGCTTGCAGAAGCGGGGGGCCGCGGCTATCCTGGTCTCGGAGATGCTGGCCTCGGCGGAGGCCTTGAGCACGGGGTTCATGGGATCGGGCGTCCTAGCCTCGGAGGTCCTGTGTGCGGGGGCGGCGCCTGAAATAACACAAAGGAGAGATGACAATCTTGCTACAAACGGAAAAAATACTTCTTTAAAAGACGCAGCTAAGTGCACACCTCAAAAAATGAAAATTTGTAGCAGCCAGCGTATGCTTACTGCAGGGACAACCATAAACCATGGTATATGCAACAACAGCACGCACAGGTGTATCAACCAAGAATACGGTTTTCATCACTTCACTTCACTTATTACTGGTGGATCATTATGTCAACCATTTTTTATGGTTATCTCTAAAGGAACCGTGAGATGACTGCTACAACTTTTCATTTTCCTGGGTGTATGAGCGGGATGACTGCAGGTATTTGAGGTTGAAAGGTTGCACGAAGCAGGCCCTCTCTCTCTCTCTCTCACACACACACACACGCACTAGCCCCGCCAGTTCTTACAAGGACCCCCCGGCCTCCTGCCCGGGGCCGCGTCACTATCGAAACGTGCAAACTGCACCAGATGCAAAAGGCACAAGAAGTATGTATGTGCCGCGCACAATCGAGGCGGTCAGAGGACGGGAACTTTAAGCTAAGCTTAGGATTGGGTCGGACCACATCTGCACAGGGCATCACGGAAATTCAATTATTTGAAGTGGTTGTTATTTTTTAGACAGATTTATTGAAAAAGCTACAGTTATGTAGAACAATAAAAATCATTCAAGCTAAAACGGCGACGCAAAAGCAAAATAGTTCAAAATATACTAACAATTACCGAGTATTTAAACAAAAATAAAATCTAACATTAATGTAAAACAACACAACAACATAACAAAATAACAACATTAAAACATTATTTGAATAAATTCGGTTCGTTACGGCCAGACTCAACCAGTATATTTCTTATTACAATTCATGGTGATTATTGTTCATAAGAACGCTGAGATTTACACTCTTGTTTAGGTAGCAATCCTTTGCCGCGAGTGTGCCATTTGTAGGGTTTCTCTTTTGTGTGTGCTTTCATGTGTTCACGTAGTGTGCTACTTATAAAGAATCCTTCGCCGCATGTGTGGCATTTGTAGGGTCTATCACCTGTGTGAGTCCTCGTGTGGTACTGGAGATGGCCACTTTGAATGAATCCTTTGCCGCAAATCTGGCATTTGTGGGGTCTCTCTTTCGTGTGTGTTCTCATGTGTACACGTAGTATGCTACCTCTAATAAACCCTTTTCCGCAGCTCTGGCACTCGTATGGTTTCTCACCTGTGTGAGTCCTCATGTGTATATGGAGTAGGGAACTTTGAATGAATCCTTTCCCACAAGTGTGGCAATTGTACGGTCTCTCTCCCGTGTGCATCCTAATGTGTACACGTAGGATGCTACTTTTAATGAACCCTTTGCCGCAAGTCTGGCATTTGTGGGGTCTATCACCCGTGTGAGTCCTCAAGTGTCCACTGAGTGTAGCACTATGTGCGAATCTTTTGCCGCAAGTCTGGCATTTATAAGGTTTCTCACCTGTGTGAGTCCTCATGTGTCTACTGAGTGTAGCAAACTGGGCGAATCTTTTGCCGCAAGTCTGGCATTTGTAGGGTCTCTCTTTCGTGTGTGTTCTCATGTGTGCTCTGAGTGTAGAAACCTGTGCGAATCTTTTGCCACAAGTCTGGCATTTATAGGGTTTCTCACCTGTGTGCGTCCTTGTGTGTTGACGGAGGTGGGCACTTCGAGAGAAACGTTGCCCGCAAGTCTGGCAGTTGAAGGGTCTGTCACCTGTGCGAGTGCTTGCTGGACTGACGCCACAGTGTTCGCCGCTGTCCAGTTTATCGGCAGCATGGGTCCGCATGTGGGCCCGGAGCAGGGCCGCCCTCCTGAAGGCCGCCCCGCAGGTCGCACAGCAGTGGGGCGCCTCCCCGGCAGCGTCCTGCTGCTGGCCGCGGTCCTCACCGTCTTGGGCAGCAGTACCAGCAGGCGGCGGCTCGGCGGCGGCTGTAGGGGAGAGCGTGGAACGTGAGCTGGAGCCGAGCAGGTTATCTGATACCAGGGGGTGGAGGACTCCCGGATCCTGACCGAGCCAGGGCGACGACGCGGAGAGGAGTGCGTCAAAGGTGAACGCTCATCCGGCGAGGGGTGTGCAGATGACGTGACACAGGGAGAGAGGACTCCTATACCCGGCCGGACCCAGCCGGTCGGACGCGGGCTAGCCGTCGGACATGGCGACGAGCGGGAGGGTAGAGGACGGGTTGTTGTTCCTGATAGCAATCATGGCGCCTTGAGGCTCTGAGCGCGTCGGTATCCCGCCAGCACGCCAGGATGCGCCAGCACCAGTACAGGTGGTCGCCCTGATACTTACAGGGGGAAGCGTCGTCCTGCAGCTCGGGCGCCTTGTGCCGACCCTTGTGCGTCTTCCTTGACTCGGAAACCCTCGCCTTGGAGTTGCTGCTGGTCTCGATGATCTTGAACTTCCGCTTCCTGGGCTCGGGGGTCCTGGCCACGGGGGCGGCGCCTGAAAAAAGAGAAGGGAGAGGTGACAGGATAGAATCGGGGCAAAATACTTCCTCTGGGAGCGCAGCCACTCACGTATATTTCACAGTTCATAGGCGTGCAGATTGCTAGAGGTGCTGTTACCGTTAAGATTGAACGGTTGAAGGAGAGCGTGGAGGTGAGCGCAAGCAGGACGTCGCTTACGGATAACAAGAGGGGAAGGATTCCCGGACCCGGATTCAGCAGAATCTGTCGAGCAGGGCAGACGCGGCTGTCTGAGCATGCCTTGATTTTGCGAGCGCCCACGCATGCATGCGCCAGTTCACTGCTGAAAACTGGTTGGAGTTCGTCTTCTCAGAACGCCAAATATTGGCGTCTTTGAACGACAGGATTTGGCGTTCATCAGAGGACGCCAATATTTTGCGTCACAAGTCAGCTCGCTCCTGCACGTCCTCACGGCCAGGACTCGGCGTCCTCTGCCCGGGGCCGTCACGTTCGAAACGATTCAAAAGTGGCGAGGCGAGCGGAGTAGCGAAGAGCAAAGCAACAGACGGAGGGAGATCGGGAGATCTAGAGTGACGCCCAATGGATTCTTGGCGCCGGTCGGAGGAAGACCACCGGCGGATTACGTGGGAAAGGAGAACCCTAATGCACAATAAAGCATTCCGGTAAAGCTGAGATGCAGAAGAATGAAGAGAACAAGAAAACGGAAGTCACTCTGCTAAAGCATAGGGATTTCCGTTTTCTTCTTCCCCGCATTTTGCTGCATTTCAGCTTTACCGGAATGCTTTATTACAACGAGACCGGCTCCGGCAGTTTCGAGGGCAGATCGTGTAGCTGTTAGAAATGCCGCCCAGTTCTGGTCTGCAACCAGAAAATGGTGTCCTTAAACACAATGTTTCTACATCGTGCCTTAAACCAAGGAATTTTCTTTTTTTAAAAAAAATACAAGTTAATTCACCTTGGTTTGAGGCTTTTCCGTTATTTTCAATGAAATTAAGTTGATTGAAGGCAATTTTTACTTTATTTTAACGCAGTTTGCCCTCATTCAAAGACAATTATCATTGTATTTTTTTGAGGTAAAAATAGTGTTTAAGCAACGCATTTAGCCTTGTTACAAAGATACCATTTTCTAGGTGAAAGCTTAGATTAGGATCCTGTCTCATCTGCACAGGGCAGCACGCAATAGATTATTTGAAGTGTATGTTTATATACAGATTTATTGGCAGAACTACAATTAGCGTAGTGTAATTAAATTCAATCAAGCCAAAATGACTGCTAAAACAAAGGAGCAAAATAATTCACTAAACAAAAATAATTACAGAGTGATTTAAAAAAAAGCAAACCACAGAGGTTGATAAAAACAAAAACTTAAATTAACTCTAAAAGTACTTTAACTAATTGGGTTTGGTTTTGGTCGGTCTTAATGCATGAGTACACATGGTGTGTGATCTGAGTCATCTTTATTTGTTATAATGTACCGGATTTAGGACGGGTACTGTAGACCAGAAAAAAAGAAAGGACAAATCACCACAAAGAAGCGCCACAAGCCATAGGCCATTACAGGGTCTATCACCAATCACCAGTGTGAGTCATCATGTGTCTACCGACGTTGGCAAGTAGAGAAAACCCTTTGCCGCAAGTCTGACACTTATAGAGTTTCTCACCTGTGTGTGTCCTCATGTGTGCATTGAGTCTGGCGTTCTGACTGAATCCTTTGCCACAACCCTGGCATTCATAAGGTTTCTCACCTTTGTGAGTCCTCATGTGCCTACCGAGGTCGCTATTTCAAGAGAAACATTTGCTACAACTCTGGCATTCATAAGGTTTTTAACCTGTGTGAGTCCTGGTAGAGCACCCTTTGCCGCATGTCTGGCATTTGTACGGTCTATCACCTGTGTGAGTCCTGATATGATTACTGAGGTGGATATTTTGAGAGAAACGTTTGCCACAACTCAGGCATTCATAAGGTTTCTCACCTGTGTGAGTCCTCAGGTGCACACGGATATTGGCACTGGTAGAAAACCTTTTGCCGCAAGTCTGGCACTTGTAAGGTTTCTCACCTGTGTGAGTCCTCGTGTGTGCACGGAGATGGTCACTACGAGAGAAACGTTTCCCACAAGTCTGGCATATGTAGGGTTTCTCACCCGTGTGAGTCCTCATGTGCCCACGGAGGTGGTCACTTCGAGCGAAACGTTTGCCGCAAGTCAGGCAGCTGAAGGGTCTATCACCCTTGTGAGTGCTCGCGTGTCTACGGTGGTCAGAACTTCCCGTATAACTGTCGCCGCAGTGTTCATCGCTATCCAGTTCATCGGCGGCATGGGTCCGCATGTGGGCCCGGAGGAGGGCCGCCGTCCTGAAGGCCGCCCCGCAGGTCGCACAGCGGTGGGGCGCCTCTCGGCCCTGTGCTTGACCCCCGCGAGCTCCAGCGGCACCAGCGGGAGCGGGCGGCGGCGCGGCGTCGGCTGTAGAAGAGGCACAGTCGGGGTGGGGCGGGCAGTTACGGACATAAGGGGGAGGGGGGCCGTCCGAAAGATCGGTTGGTTTGCGATTGGTCGGCGAGTACGGTCAGTGACGAGCCGCTCCTGGCGCCCAGAACCAGCTGGTCCAGGGGGTTTGTCCTTGTCCTGATATCCTCGCGAGTCACCCCCGCGAATCAACTCCACCGTCACCTCGTGACCCGCGGCTTGTCGTTTCGCGGGGTGCTCGCGGGGTGCTCACGGTATTCGCGGCCGTCGCGGCGTCGTCGCCGGTGTTAGTGGCAGTGTCCCGACCGGTTGGCAATGAACAGGGGCGTCTCGTCACGGCCAGGAAACCGACCGTACATCGACCCTACTCGCGGACCGATCGCAAACCGACCGATCTTTCGGACGGGCCCCAAGCCGGGCCGACGCGGTGGGGCCGTCGGAGCATGCCGACGTAGCGGCGGGTTGGCCACAGGAGACCATGGCGCCCTGAGTCTCGGAGCGCGTAGGCAACCCGCACGCAAACCTGAACGAGCCCTCTGGCCGCCGCCGTGAAACTTACCGAGGACGGCGTCGTTCTGCGGCTCTGCCTCTTTGCGCGTCTTGCGGCTCGCGGCCCGCTTCCGCTTGGGGTGGCGGGGGCCCGCGGAGGTCGTGGGCTCGGGCGCAGCGCCTGAAATGAGAGACGAGAGAAATTACCACAGGGCTAGAATCTGGGGAAAGTACATTTGAGGAGAGTGGTTGAGAGCGCGCCTGGCGGTCTTGATCTTGGACATAACGACTCTTGCGCGGTTTAACCGGGGAAGGGTAGAGCTGCGCACAGTCGCCATCGCCAAAACCGACCGAGGCGAACGCGGGCGAACGGCGCACGGCCAGCGCTGGCCCTACGCTCACCGCGCTTCGGTAGTCCATCGCCTTTTTTTCTGGCAGCGGAACCTTGAACCGCGCCTAGGACGATTCCAGTTACGTTCAGCCTAGGCTGGCGGCCGGGGGACTATGCGCGAGACTGTATCCGGCCGAACCGAAGACGCCTGCTCATTTTGAGGAGGTAAATGTACGAAAACCGCTAATCCCATGTGAAAACGGAGGGCAGAGGATGAAATCAATTGAATTTTAAGGAGGTATTTTCACCTTGCACTCCAGTACAATCAAGGTTACGGAAACAGGGGAAAATGAATCCCGGACCCGAATCCAGCCGCGACGACGTGGAACGAAGAGGAACGAAAGCGGACAAATGAATGGTTATTTTGCTGTTAGTCGCACGACAAATTAACCTCAAATTAACAAAATATCTATACGGCATAATGCGGACAGGTATGCAACAAACGCAATTATCCTAAAGTGAAGCGTGCTGGGGACGCCTTAAAACGCGATAGCTGGGGAGGCGAGCGGGGACGCAAACGAGCCGTCGAAGCATGCCATCGTACGGCCGGGTTGGCCTACCTGGCCTCTCTACCAGAGAGCAATAAGGCGTCGTCAGATTCCAAAAGCGTAGACCCCCCGCCTAAATGCACCTCACCACACCACCTGGCCGCCGTGAAACTTACATAGGAAGGCGTCATCATGCAGCTGGGAGCTGACTCCGTGGGTGCTGAGTCCGGGGGTGCTGAGTCCGGGGGTGTTGAGTCCGGGAGTGCTAAGTCCGGGAGTGCCAAGTCCGGGGGTGCTGAGAGCGAGGGAGCTGAGCCAGGGGTATCTAAGCCAGGGGGAGCTGAGCAAGGGGGAGCTGAGCAAAGGGGAGCTGAGTCCTGGGGTGCTGAGTCCTGGGGTGCTGAGCCCGGGGGAGCTGTGCCCGGGGGTGCTGAGCCCAGGGGTGCTGAGCCCAGGGGTGCTGAGCCCAGGGGTGTTGAGCCCAGGGGTGTTGAGCCCGGAGGTGCTGAGCCCGGAGGTGCTGAGCCCGGAGGTGCTGAGCCCGGAGGTGCTGAGCCCGGAGGTGCTGAGCCCGGAGGTGCTGAGCCCGTGGGTACTGCGCCCGGAGGTGCTGAGCCCGACAGTGCTGAGTGCAGGGGTGCTGGGCCGGAGGGCCTTGAGATCGGAGGCCCTGGGTCCATGGTTGGCGCCTAAAAGAAAAGGTTTAAATGAATCTCGGACTGATTTCCGCGACATTTATTCGTGGGAGCGCACCTGCTTTTGATAGGGGGATGACTGCATGTACTTTTAACCCTTCGTCGAAAAGGGGGGGGGGAGGAGGAGAGTAGGCAACGGGCCCCTTTACCCCACACCCCCACCCAACTTTGTACCATACCATCATGGACGTCTACGCCTGCATGTATGCACAAAGCGTGGATACAAATAGAGTCCTCTAAAGCTTACCCTCGCGCGGCTGGTCGGGGGATAGGGGTGGAGGA